TTTTTATGTTTTTTGGTGTAGGACGAACTATATATTTATAAAAAATTATCGAAAATAAATTGGAATAAAAAACTTTTCAGATATTGCGAAAAATTCTGTGCCAATACTTTTGTCCGGCACTGTATATATGTCGTTCAGTTTGTGGCAGTCAAATTTTCATTTACGGCATTCTTTCCCGAATTTTTATCACATAATTAAAAAAGTAATGCTCGAGGCCTTTACGACCAAAAAAGTTTCCGAAACGTTGCGAGACTTGCGCTGAAGCTTTATGATTTGTATATTTCTAATTAAAATTTTGGTTTTGTATATAACAATTTAATTGATGAAAAATTGGATTTGAAAAATTTGTTTAATCAATTTTTGGAGTATGTAATACCTATACATAATCGCTTTATTGATAGAAGAATGTCTTCATCCAAACAAGTCAAGTATATTGAAAATTAACAAATGAAAAATATAGTAAGCAACCACCCGTTGCCCAAATTATGGAACCAAATTAAAGATTAAATTTTATGAGTATATTTCTAATAGAATAGATGATTAAATCAAGGTATGCCCAGCCCCTTGCTGGTTTGAGCTCGCCAGCCAATCAAAAATAATTTCCGCAAGTTCCATCCATATGGGTGAAATTATTTTGGGAATTTGGAGAATTAGCCCTCACAGAGTTGGCATCCCTAATGCTGATGCTTACAAACTGACACATTGATTTCATGGTTCTCGCATCAACTCTCCATCACTTACTTGCAGCACTTAACACGATACCTTCTCACGAGTCCTATCAAATTTCAAATTAGTTTTTTTCCACCACTCGATGCAGTCATTTGAACGTCAAACGCGTAAGAAATATTGTTTATTATACAAAAACATACTTAACTTATACAATATATGTAAATGCAGTACCTGTTACAGTGATACCTTTTTTACGACAGACACATGAAGTCCTTAATTTAATTTAAAATTCAATACTTGTATATAGAGTATTCGATAAAGAACCTAAAAGTAAACAAAAAGATTTGCTGTTGTCTGATGTCGGTATAACAAAAATAAAAAAATATAAAATTATTTTTATTAAAATAACAAACGGTAATCATGTAGGCAATCTTAACAAAAAAAAAAGCTCCAAACTCTATTCGTCAGTACTTTCATATGTAAGTAGATATCCTGCAGGAATTCCACTGACTCTATCGGGACCTTTATAATAATATATGTAAATCGGACTCATGTAAACAAAAGTGATAACCACTAAGTCAAAACCGAGTATGTGTTCATAAAGGAACTGATGGATGCAAAGGCTTGTACGTGAAATTTTTAAATTTTGTGCAAAACATTCATGTACATATGTATGTACGTTCTTACTACGCCGCAAGCAACCGCATGTTGCGTCAACTTTTTAATCAACCACTGCCCTACATACACTAGGGTACATATCGCGATATCAGAGCTACATAGTTCCACAGAGCCGGCTTTCGTTGACCATCAAATCATAAAAATGGCACAGAGGAATCGCATCCAAGGGCAATCGCTTTAGCATCTCTACACAAGGACACCGAGTTATTGATTTTTCTTGCATTCTCACTACGTTTAGACATGTACATACATATGTATGTTCGTTCGTGCTTATATTTGTGTTGTGAGTATAAGCCCTTAAATGTACAAAGAGAAGAAAAAATAGATTTTAAAAAAGTTGTTAAAAATACGCTTCCACACAAATTTTCCATTTAAAATAAAATAAAGATTTAAAATTAAATGGGCACTTGCATTGTAGGTACATTTGTACCATTTTCATTTCGAAAGGTATATTAAGTACAAGATTTTTTCTTATAATAAGAGGTGTCTTATCCTTACCGGTGAAATATTGCCAGTGTAAATGGTCTTTCACCTAATCGTTCTACACATAACAGCGAAATATTGCATAAATGCTTATGGTTCAATACAATTTGCGAAAATGTCTGATTATTTCCTATTGAATAATAATAATAAAAATATAATAATAAATTTTAATTTCCAACACAAAATAGTAAACAAATGACGGCTTCTATTCATGAAGCTTTAATGATTAGGCGAAAACATGACTATGAATCGTAATGTACAGAGCTTCTAAAAGGGTCGTGATCTATATGTAATACTCCAATATTGGCAGTAAAAGCTAGTACCGTCCGAAAACATTACAGTGCAGACATATCCATACATAAATAAACACGTACACAACACATACACAAAAATGCTATTAGACTGTCTCATTTTGATTTCGCAATGCTTACACATTGAGAACTTAGCGTACTGCCAATAAAGAAGTATTACATATATGGTTTCGGACCTACAAAGGCGGTTGAAAACTTTTCTCTCGCCAGCTAATCGGCAACCTCTTATCCTCAATCTGGCAGATCCTTGGCATCCAGCATAGTTACAATCTCTTTCATTGCCACTAATATCTCGACCTTAAGTACAGTGGGTCATCTGCCCATTGCAACTGAAAGTTTCTGCCAACGAAGTAAGGCTGTTTTTGCAGTGTTTTGGGCCACCAAGCTACGAAGACATAGACCAAAATCGTCCGGCCGTTCATGCCATAAATTCATTCTATTAATTTTGATTTCATCATGAAGAGCTTTATTTTGGATCAAAGGCAATAGCCATGGCGCAATAAACAGGTGAAGTAATAAAAAGCTTTCTCGATTTATTTTCTGCCTTACTGCCATACCTAAACAAAAGCGGCAGCCGTTGTCTGGCTGTAAAAAAGTTATCATGCCAATACAATTTGTATAAAGCATACCAAAACAACACGGCGTCAACGCTGAGCGTTTGGAAAACACGATTTTGACAGGGCGTTAGGAAGTGAAGTTGGCGAAACTGCCATTTTCGTATTTCACACAAACTTACAACTACAAAAATTCTCAGTCAGTATTTTAAGATATTTAATAATGATATTAAGAGTATTTATAATGTCGTTTTTTTTTTGTAAAAACATGATCAGTAAACTGAAACTATATGATATCTTTTTATCTCGATTACAGCAAAGGTAACAACATGCCACCAAACGCTACAGCAAATACACAATCCATAAGCAACTCCTTGGTTGCCAATGCCAGTGGTGATTCGAAATCTCTGACTGATAACACCACTGGTGTACTCTTCGAGCAAGATGCCGAAACCTATGATGGAGGCTTATTGAAGGACATTGAAAAGCTGAAGAAAGCTGAAAAACGAAGGTTTAAACTGGTTTGGCGAAACATAATTGCATTCGTCTATGTCCACTTAGCAGCTGTATATGGACTTTATTTGATGTTGACATCGGCCAAATGGCAAACTATTTCATTAGGTGAGTAGATATTTTCTGTTCATAAAATTTCCATTCATACTTACATATGCATGTATGTATGTATGTATGCACATACGCAATAAGGCCATATGGTCTTATTTCCATTTTGTTTTGGAAATAAAAACATATGACGTTATTTCCAATACAGAAGTGAAATAAAGTCATATTCAAAATTGTACAAATAAGTAACACAGTCATAATTGAAACTACAACCGCTTCAAGTAAAAATTCATATCTGGCCACACTATTTGTGGATCACATTTTTCTTATTAATTGACCGTGAGCGTGTTTCTGTATTTATCAGTCCGGATCTAGAAGAGAATATTTGTGTAGTTCATCAGGCACAATGGTTATAAAGAAACAGAAGAGAACGAAATTTTTTTTTTTGCAAAAACTTACTTGGTTTCTCTAGCGCCATTATTTTCATGCAATATTCTAGAAATTCCGTACTAGAAACGAAATGAAAAGAATGCGTTCAGATTATCCGGCCCCATATTATCCGGGAACAACGTTTTAATGAATTAGTGAACAGAAAAATGTATTCCGAATGTTCAGAATGTGAATAAAGAAACTCTCGCCTTGTGTTAATATTGTTACGGTAATTTTCCCAGCTTACTTACTTACTCCAGGACACTGGGGAAAATCATTGGTAATCATCAAATTATTTCTTCAGAAGGGGTATCAAATATACGCATTTTAAGGTCCCTGTATTACGAATCCGGGAATGGCAATTAACTTTTTTAATATTTCAAAAGTTTTCTATAGAAAATATATTCCAAACATTATTTACAATGTTAACTCCTGGCGGCACCTTTACATCATAAAAATTAGCGACCTTTCTTAAAAACTATTTTGGTTGGTTCTGGTCGATCCTGATGCAGTACCATCAAAGATGTTACCTGTTATTTCATCAGATGAGAGATAATGATCCAAGTGTGGGTATGTTCTCAAATGCATTAGGGCAAAGGCATATCGTGAAAATAACAACCGCAGTGCGCCAAACAGATGTGAAGTATCGCATAAAATTTATACTTTTGTCAATTTAGTAATAGTAGATGGTCCTGATTTGCAGTAATTAATTTGAGAAAGAATCCTTAATCTTAATGTGTATATATTTACATACATATATAGGGGAAATCTTTTGAGATGGGGACATTCTGCGTACTGGCATATTGTTTCCGAGACAAACCAGCTGCACTGCCAAGTGCGGTTTCTGTACCTTCGTCAACACTATTTATATGTGTAAATATCAGTAAATAGTTATTCACAAAAAAAAAAATACAGTTTAATGACTTATTTATTGCTAAAATCAAGATAAACAGGAAATTTCTAGTGCAACTTGCATAAGTTCTGAAAAAAAAATATTGCACATATTGAAAAACACCCTATCACAGAATTTGGTTAAAGAACGCCCTATCTCAAAACAAATATACGAATTGTTTACATTTAAATTTTCAAATAAGCGTACATCAAATATTGATTTCACTTTGTTTATTACATCATGATTTCATCGAAGTTTGAATTGTCATTTCAGGCAGGCTTTGAAATATTAATTATACAAAAAATTTTATTTCGAATTTTATTTGTCCAAGCTAAAAAAAAAACCAATTCCTAGTGTTTTGCAAAATTTTTTGTTAATTAATTTAGTTAGTTAATTTTTAGTTATAGTTGCAAATTTTTTGTGCATTTCCCCAAGTTATAGGCCTGTAAATAATAAACAAAATAGGTAATTCAATTGTAGAACTTAAAATTCAACAGCGATAAAAAAAAGTGTGTGAATAATGGATCATTTTAATGTGCCTAAGAAAGTGAATAGGCACGTTTTGAAAGCGTTGGGTGCTTTGAGTGGCGGCGATCGCAATCGAATCATCGTCACGTCAAGTATAATAAATCAAGTGAAGTATCAAATGCGAAACCTAGTACCAGTTCCGAATCTTGAGAGGGCCGTACAGAATTCTTTGAAGAACCTCAGTGAAATTGGCTTGATTGATCGACGTGGCATGCATCGCTATGCTCTTGGACGTTCCGCTGCCGCTATGCAAGGGCCCAGTGCTCAATCCAATTCTAAAACCCCAGACCGTCGTGTATTTCATGGCAATGTAAGCATATTTGTCAAATATAATACTTCATTATACATATGTATGTATGTACGTCTGTTATCGCTTCCAATTAGGATCCACGGCGATGTAGTCGTAGCAGATTAGATCCCAATATGAAACGTGGGCGAGCCTGCAGCGAAGAAGAATCTCTTTCTGGCGATGAATTTGACCGAACACGCAAACGTATGCGTACAAACAACAAGCAACTAGGGCATTGTGGTCGTTGGGCACATTTGCCGCGTGTGCGACAGCACCACCAAAAGATTCACCCAGCCGATCAGCTGTGCCGTATAAGGGCACCAATCGATACACCTTTGATTTCTCAAGACCTCTACTCAATACATCACCAACAAAAGATCTTTCAGGAATGTTTTCCTCCTAAAGTCTGTCGAGATCTACTTGAAATCATCAGCAGGGGAATGATAAGTAATGCAACATCGGACTATATGCTTGCTAATGTGACACCCGCACTATCGCTTGAGATAGCTGAAATCTCAGATGATGTAAAAAAAATTGTGGATGTGCGCAAAATAGTCGAGACCCCACCGTTACAACAGCAAAACGAAAACGAGCTGGAAATGGGAGAGTACGAAGAACGTGAGGAAGGAGTGCAAACTGAGAACATATCGTCAACGGCAGTCTCTGACCACCAAAATGCAACAACATGCCGCGAAACGGCATCTAAGGTCAGGCAAGGGGTGCAACAAGTGCAAAACGCTAGCAAAATCATAACAAATCAAAATCCAGTCACAAAAATTGGTTTGTCTCACCGGGCAATGACCACATCCAACGCCTTGGCGGCTACATCTGAAAATTCATCCAAGTCTCTACTGCCCGATTACACAAAGTCTTATATTAAATGATAAATGTGCACTTTGCTCGAAATCACAATTGGTTTTTCGGGCTTTTTTGTTGTAAATTAAATGTAAGTGAGTTCCTCAATTATAAAACCTCTCCCTTGAAAATAAATCGTCGAAACGACTTCATTGAAGGGGCATGTAAAACAATATTGCTAATTTTATTTGTATGTCATAAAAAACGGATTTATTTCGACGATTATTTATTCGTCTGATTTTAGTAGGCGCATTCTTTTGCAACCGAGCTACCAAAGGACACTCGGTAAAATTACGAAATACTTGCTAAGGAACAACACAAACTTGGCGGCGGCGGCGGCGATGAAGAAGGTCCTATGTACATTAGGGAGGTCCAAAGGCAGTAAAGTCGGAACTGTAATGGTCTCACCCTCTAGGATTGTTCTATATCGAAACAAGTATATCCCTATTTTTTTATTTTGAAATCAAAAAATATTTAGAGGTCGCTCTTCTTCTTTATTGGCGCTGTAACCGCCTAAGCGATTTTGGCTGAGTCCAAAGCGTTGGTCTTTCCAACGCAGAGGATGCCTTTCTCTTCCTCTGTTACCAGCATCGCGGCCCGCGTTGAATATTTTCAGAGCAGGAGCATTTCTGTCCATTCGAACGACATGACCAAGCCAGCGGAGCCGCTGTATTTTAATTCGCTGCACTATGTCCATATCGTTGTAAAGCTCATACAGCTCATCGTTAAATCGTCTGCGATATTCGCCATCACCAACGCGTAAAGGTCTCTTTCTCTCGAAAACTCCAAGAGCCGCCTCATCAGATGCTTTCATTGTCCATGCCTCCGCGCCATACACCAGCCCAGGCATAATGAGTGACTTATAGAGTGTGATCTTTGTACGACGAGAGGACTTTCTTTCTCAATTGCCTACTCAGCCCAAAGTAGCACTTGTTGGCAAGAGTGATTCCGCGTTGAATTTCCATGCTGACATTATTGGTGTTAATGCTGGTTCCCAAATAAACGAGGTTATCTACTTTTTCAAACTTGTAACTGTCAACAGTGACGTGGGTGCCAAGACGCGTATGCTCTGACTGTTTGTGTGATGACAGGAGATACTTCGTTTTGTCCTCGTTCACCACCAGACCCATTCGCTTTGCTTCTCTATCCAATCCCGAGAAGGCAGAATAGAGGTAGCCCTTTTTTTAACGATAATATCGATGTCATCGGCATATGCCAACGCTGAAAGTTTTCCATGTATTTTTATATGGGAAAAAAACCAATTTTCGTAGAAATGGTATAGAATTATCTTTAGGAGACTTTCAATAATAATACCCTATTGTTTATTTAACCATTTTTTAATACTAACGATTTTTTGTTGGTCCCCAGTTGCATTTTTCGGGGTTTTTGGTGGTTTTTGGCGGATCTTTAATTTATAGTTGCGATGAAAAAATGGTTAAATAAACAATTGGGTATCATTATTGGGAATCTCCTACAGCTAAACAGAGTTTTCCGATAGAAAAATATTGATTTTTAACAATTCTATACCATTTCTGCGAAAAGTTGTTTTTCCCCCATATAAAATACATAGAAAACTTTGGGCGCTTTGAGCGACCTCTAAATATTTTTTGATTGCAAAGTAAAAAAATATGGGCATATTTTTTCGGTATAGAGAAACAAGAGTTTTCAACTTTTTTCCTTAAGCAGAAAAGGTTTCTACAATTAAAAACTTAACCTTAAACATTTTCAATATTATAATAAAACCCTTTATACAAATAGTCTTGCCCAATTCGCAGAGTTTTGCAATTTTGTCATCGAAGTCAAAATCCACTTGTTTTTTGTAACGTCATGCCAGCGCTTATATTTACTAATATATTTAAATCGCTACTACCAACAGTTGTAATTTTTTTACTGATTAATTGCTATGCAAATCTAGAAAAACATTTTTAAAATTTATGGCTGCGTTTCTTTATACATTCCGGATAATCCCATTTCACAGCCGGAATAAACAGAATGCGTTTGAAATATACGTCAACATATCATCAGGAACGTTCTAAAGAATAAATAAACAAAACAGTTTATTCCAAACGTTCAGAATGAATAAAGAAATGCAGCCTATACTTTTCAATTTTTTTTTTAACATTTTGTCATACGAGAATCACGTAACGCCAGATTGGAAATACCCATATGTAGCTACAACAATTTAAAAGCTTCACTCCGCTCGGATCGGCTTTGCTCGGATCCGCTCCGCTTTCTGTGTGAATGTCCCCTTAGCGTTACAAATTTTTATGTGTCATAACTTTTTGTTGTTGTATTGAAAAAATCAACTCCTATGGAAAAAATCGTCTGATTACCAGTGCTCGATCCTTATCTTTCTGTAATAAACGGTTTCGACCGATGCACCTATGTTTCCTATGTTTTTTCTGATATTTTTTTTGTGAAAAACCACGGAGATCGTATACCTGGTTAGTGGCCCAAATTAGGTAAAAAAAAACTGTTTTAAAAATGTAATTTTCATTTTGTAATTACCCAACGGGACTGAAAGTGAGCTGCTCTCCTAAGGAGCAAGTAGGGGGCAGTAGAAAAGCATAGTCCCGGCTTTGCCAAGAATCCCGGAATATTCGGGATTTGTTTATTTAATTATTAATATTTTTTTATAAATGTCTAGCCTATTATCAGGGCAGAAAAGTTTAAGCTTTTGCTTAGAATTGCTTATTTTGCTTATTTCAATGTATAAACTTAAAGTACAGCACGGACCTTCTAAGAAAACGGTCCTTGTACTCTTCGCAAACAAACTTTAGCAAACCATAGCAGAAAGCGTAGCAAATTTCTTAAGAACTTCGTACTGCTTAAGAAAATTTGGCTCAACGAATTTTTCCTGACCATTTCTTTTGCGTTTTTTTATTCGTCGAAATGTTTACAAATATAACATAAAAACAAATTTGATTTTTACTAACCCGTAACTTCAATTGCATTTCTGCTTGGGTGTAAAAATTTTAAACCAATGGTTTGTCTCTACGGGAAGGCATTGGTGTTATTGAAAAGAATAAATACAATTTATCTCAAATGGAGAACAACGGAGGAAATAATGATTAACGCGCACCGATTTCGCTGAAATTTGCCACGTTAAAATTCATTCGATTTCGATGAAATTTAGTTTGTACCCTCTCCTTTATTAAGCAAAGCAAAATTCCATACGAATCGGAAGGATTCGATTTTTATTGAAAGATTTCGTATTATTTTGGTCATGTTGAATTTTCAGTGCCTCTTTTGGGCTTAGCAAATTGGCCTTCATTGAATATAAGCGAGAAAAATAAAACAAGTGCCTTAAGCCTTCTAAAATTTCTCTTGTTTCCTATATCAAAATATGAGTTTTCATAAAATGTGGACTGGACTTATCAACTTTTCACTCTATGCTTGCTTAGAACGCATTTTAGCCGCTAGAGAATTGTGGATATTAAATCTGGTTTTTTGTGTCTTGCTTTCTTCACAGCACTTTTCTTATATTTGATTTCTGGACTGGGTATAACAGCCGGTGCTCATCGCCTTTGGGCTCATCGTGCCTACAAGGCCAAATGGCCGTTACGTCTGATTTTGATGGTTTTCAATACAATCGCCTTCCAGGATGCTGCCTACCACTGGGCACGTGATCATCGTGTGCATCACAAATATTCGGAAACCGATGCTGATCCCCATAATGCTACACGGGGCTTCTTCTTCTCTCACGTAGGTTGGTTAATGTGCAAAAAACATCCCCTGGTGAAAGCCAAAGGCAAAGGCGTGGATTTGTCCGATTTGCGCGCTGATCCGATTTTAATGTTCCAGAAGAAGTAAGTAAAATATGGATTTACACTAGCGAAAATTTACGTATACTAATAGGTATTTCTGATGTTCTAGATATTATTTGATTTTGATGCCGATTTTGTGCTTCTTGTTGCCCACCACGATTCCTATGTATGCATGGAATGAGAATTTCGTCAATTCATGGTTTGTTGCTGCTATGTTCCGTTGGTGTTTCACTTTGAATATGACTTGGCTGGTGAATAGCGCTGCACATAAATTCGGAGGAAAACCCTACGACAAGTATGTTCACTCATTATCTATTAATCTATCTAGCCTTAACGGGTATACATACAAACATATGAACATATGTATGTATATGATGTACATACCCAATAAACATTGTGGCGAACGTTCGAAAATGGCGTTCGATATCCAATATGCATATGCTAGGGCTCGGGATCTCATGCACAAAAAAATCGAAAATATGCGCATATAATATGCACCCAAAATTTAGAAACATTCGCCATAAACGAGTCAAATATGCAATTAAAAATATTTCCCTAATATTTTATGGCCGGACTCTGTACATAATGCGATACGAAAAGGCAATGCGGGGCGATAGGCAAATACTCGTAAGTAATACGCTGTGCGATTGCCTATCGCATCGCATTTTTCCTTCGCATCGAATTATAGAGTAGCCGCCCCAGCTCTCTCCAACAGTCCGCCAATAGTTGAGATCTAACAGAGGTAGAAGAGAGTTTTTAATGGTCGCTTTGATATACGAGAAAATATTTAGATGAATATTTCGGAACAAATTATAGGTATTTTTTGTGCCCAGAGATTTCGCACTAAATTTAAATAGTGGTAAATCAAAAAAAAAGCAAAAATATGCAAAAAAAAACATATCCTCGTTTAAAGTACAAAACCGCGTATCGTCATTCTGCAAAACCGCGTAACTGACATATGCAGCGGTTTTGTAACGTTTAAACGACGATATGCATTTATTGTAAAATATACTAAAATATGTGGTATATGTATGCAAAAACAGGTATTTTTGAAAAATATGCAAAACCATGCATTTACTGCAAAATATGCAAAAATATGCACAAACGATTGAATGCCATTTTAAAGGAAATTTCGTGATTCGTAAAGATAACATAACCATTTCCATTTGAAGATGCTCAGTAAAAACATGAATTTGCATGAGATTCCGAGCCCTGCTCATAACCAACCTTCATTTTCCAACGTTCATAGTATATTGGATATACACTGGAAATGGGTTCGAAAAAAAAAACTGAAACCCGTAGTAACAAGAGGGAAAGTGAAATTCTTGAAGGGAAATATAAGACAATCACTCTCTCTCATTAAAATTTCAATTCGATAATGGGGGGAATATTTCGAATTCATAACGAAGGGAAAATACATTGGATAACGAAGTTTCCCTTTTTGTTGGTCTAGTTCTCGAATCGAATATTAAACTATTACACATTCAGACTTGAAAAAAATATATATGTATATTTGTTTTCCATTTGTTTAGATATAGTAAAATTATTATTTACATGATTTTTTCGTAGATTTATCAACCCATCAGAAAATACATCGGTAGCCATCTTCGCTTTCGGTGAAGGCTGGCACAACTATCATCATGTATTTCCATGGGACTACAAAACGGCTGAACTTGGCGATTATTCTCTGAATATTACCACGGCTTTTATTGATTTCTTTGCCAAAATCGGCTGGGCCTACGATCTAAAGCAGGTGTCACCTGACATCATCGAAAAGCGCGTCAAACGCACTGGCGATGGCTCCCATGCGACTTGGGGTTGGGGAGATAAAGATCAGTCTAAGGAAGAAATGGCGGACGCGCTAATTACACACAAAAAAGACGAATGAAGCAAAGATAAGTAACACACAAGCAGCGAAGAAAGAGCAACAGAATAAACGTGGCGTGTCTGAACAACTGTCAGAGCGGTCATCTGTAAGATAAAAAGCATGTACATATAACTGATTAGGAATGGGTTAAACAGTTGTTGTAGGGGTGTGCGAAGGTGTCAAACACTGCAGTAATCAATCTAATAGCATTTTTCAAGTCGTTTTAAAAAGGTAAACTGATAAATAAAAAAAACTATATATATTGCACGGCATCAAATAGCTTAAACTAAGCATAAGTTTTAGATTGTAAACAAGTCTTGTAAAAGTTTTTATGTAAAATCAATGTTATACATACATACATACATGCGTGCATTTAAAATTATTTTTCTTCCATATTCAGAATTAAACCTACTTTCAAATTCGAAGAGAATATCGAAGAGCTCTCGCTGTTTCAAGGGGCTCTTCTTCCTAAGCGTAGATGGCTTATACTGTAACTGTGCTAACAATATCATGGAAATATATAAGTATAAGTATACGAAAATGCAAACGAATTTATAATAAATTTGAAAAGTTAAAACAAATTCAAATACCATTGTAACAGAGAAAGTTAAAGAAATTTGTTTGCACTCTAAATTTTTAGTGAATCTAAATGCAATGAATGAAATATGTATATGTATTGGGGTATACATGAAATATTTTTAACACTACTTTCAAAGGTAACATTTCCAAATTACTGCTAACAGCACGCTAAATAATGTATGTAGTACTACAAATGGGGTTCTTAGTATTTATGAATAAAACAGATATATATATGAAACATGTTATTTCTAAAAATAAATATAAACTATTACATATAAATTGTTGAGTAATACTAACCAAATAGAAGCAACTATTTTTTAACATTATAGTGATTCCATTATCCTAATTTACATTAAAAAATATGTTGGCCAATGTGAAAGAAATTTAAATACAAAAGAAAAGAAACGAATGTGCAGTTTTAATGGAGTTTGATGAATAAAACTTAGCTATTTATGCTAAAGACAGGTACGTAACAAGAATGATAGAATACTAGATTGCGCCTATCAGAGAGGATTTTTGAGAATAAATTTTGTGTGACGTCACACTGGTGCGATTGCGAGAGAGAAATGCCAAAACGTGAGCAAGAATGGAAGAAGAAGAAAAAATGTTGCAAGGAAAACGCAAACAAGTTGCACAAGTGTGACGTCATACAAACAACGATTCTGTCAAATTCGTTAAGAGAGGAATAGCGGTACCATGATTGGCGCAACCTCTATTTCTCTCAATCGTGGGTACGTAAGCATACCCAGTTTACCACTGATGAAAGTTAAACCCTTGGTTTTTATATTCTCCGTTCCTAATACCGAGGCGCTATAATCAAGGAAGCTGCTATACTCGCAAAAGAGCGTGGCCATCAGCGTCAGGTAGTTCCCGGCGGTATAACTGTAATTTACCCTCTGGTGGGGGAAAAATATATTCCGACAAATTTGTAACCTCCTAATTTTTAAAAGCTTTTATTATGTTTCACCTGTATTTAATCAAATATTTCAGTCAATTTTTAACCAACTTCCCGATGGGCTAGAGACTTGAAACTGCAGACTATTGTATACATAAATTATCAGAGGGGAGATTCTGTAACCAGTTAGCGACAATTTTGGAATCGGTATCGCTCATTCATATCAAGTGCGATAGCGATCGGAAAATTATCGCTAACTGGTTACAGAATCTCCCACCAGAATGAAGAGAGAAGTCGGTGAAGCCATGTCTGTCTGTCCGTCCGTCCGTCCATCTGTATACACGATAACTGGAGCAAAAATTTAGATATCTGAACGAAATTTGGTATATAGGTTGCCCTTTTCCAAGGTAGGTTTTGAAAATGGGCGAAATCGGATTGTAACCACGACCACTTCCCATATAACGGTAATTTTCAGAAATAAGAAAACTGCGATAAATCAGTAACTACTGAAGCTAATTGACTAAAATCGATAATTGCAATAACCACTTAGCAGAAAATTTGATTATAATTTTTTTTTTATTTTGGCGTTGCGCCGCCCACTTGTGATCAAAAATGTGTATCTGTATCGGTAACCGATTTATAAATTTCTACCAAACTCGGTGCACTTAATAGCCTTGGTACGAAAATGGAAATACTTCTTTGATTGTTTATTTTTTGATGTTGGTCGGAAACTGGGCTTGAACCCAGGCCCTGCGGAATAGTAGCGCGCACTGCTAACCACTACGGCACTGGCCGCATATTACTTACATGAAAAGAGATAACTCCACAAAGAATTTACCCGATAGGTGGCGCAGGAGACCAGACATTTGGAAAAGCCGTATTTCTTGTCTGATTTGGTTCGTATTTAGTGGCCCTGCAAGTTTCAGCCGGCTAAAAAATCGCGTTGATTTTTAATGATTTTTTTTGTTTGCTAAAATCAAAATTTTACCTTTAAAACTTGCAAATATTTCATAAAAACCATCCGTCCGACAACTAAGCACAGTTGTGTACATACACATGAAGGGTGTTTGGGGAATGTTTGGACAAACGGATGAGTCTGGCTGTTTAAGAATTAATAACAACAGATTGGCGCTTGGAGTTTGAAAAAAAATGCTGCCATAAAATGTTATTCCTGGTACACTTGCCGAATTTTGCCTCTTATATATCGTCACCTGAAATGCAAAAAGACGTAACAATCTCGTCGCTAATCAAAAATTCAAAATTCACTGTTTGATTGATATGATGGATTTCGTCGAATTATTACTCCCCAAATCGATTTATGAAACAAAAAATTATCAGTCGCGACTTTTTCCATTTCAGCGACGCTGGTTGTTACGTCTTTTTGCATTTCAGGTGACGATATGTATGAAGAGTGAATAGCACACCGTTGTTATGTTTCGCGGTACGGCAATTATGATAGAGAAAGAGCACTCTATACTAAATGCAAATATTGTGGGGCGCTCAAACAACGTTTATAATTTCACTGGCTTTGAGCGGTGAGTAATGCAGTTCAAGATGGATTTCTCATAATTCTTCACTCATCTCAAAATGATCAAACATGTCTCTAAATCTCCGCCTTTCAACTTTCGCATAAGCAATCTGGGACTCGTTGTGCTCTTCAAGCAATAGAATTATGTTTCCACTTAAATTAAGAACAAACGAAATTTTATTTTTAAATTAAAATGAGTTAGATAAATTTAGTTATTTTAAAATATTTACAAATTTTGGTGGCCAATATTTCTTTGTTTTGTTTCGGTTTCACACATTCCTAGGCAAACAGCTGATTTCGAAAGATGTTTTCTCTCTTCCTCTTACTCTTTCGATTAGATCGTAACGCAGAATACCTAAGTTCGATTCTTGCGGAGCGGAATGCGGGAAGGTAATCGAAATGCAGAATAGGACTGATTCTACTCGGTACATCCTTTATGTTTGTGGGGAAATATTTTTAAAAATAGATTTGCCTGCTTTCTGAAAAGTTAACATTTTTAAGCGCTCACTTAAATTTTAATATATGAACAAAAAATGTTTGAAGGGATTAAAAAGAAATTGGAATGGAATTGCTACTTTTCTAAAACATTACAATACCATTTTTTTAATTCTACCCATATCTGCACCCGTTGCCGTCCTGCTGAAGCTGTAGTGTAATGTAAATTTTTTCACGAAAGCACATTGAAGATTCACTTACCCTCATGGTTGACAAAATAGTACCGGCAGGTTCTGCAATTCCGAGTCCGAGTGAATTTGAGTCAAGTTCGCTTTGAATTCAAATGGGCAGGAGTTGAAATTCACTCAGAAGTGAACTCCAGAACCTGCCCGATTATTTGCTGTCTCTGACAAACGGGTAACTTTAGGTTAATACACTTTTGAAGAACTCATGGGATATTTATAAGCTCAGGTAACCACAACGCCAATAAATAAAAATGCTGTATCAGATTTGTACAATTAGAAGCGTTTTTTTTTACTGAATTTGGAAAATTTTCATTGATTTTTAAAATCGCAGGTGTTGAAATGCAGTGTTTCCTATTTAACGCTATATAATTATTTTGTTCCATCGGACTTCTGTTTGGGCTCCTTTGACTTTTTCTCTGCTTCTATACGCGCTGCTGCTACTGCTTGTTTCTCGGCCTCTTTTTGTTCGGCTGCAGCGGCTAGTTGCTTGTCATCCCAGTCTGCCATTGACTTTTCCCGTTTCAACCACGAATGCGTTGTATCGGATTTGAATGCTGTAAGTAAAAATATATGCTTACTTAATTCGTACTAATATGAAACTTTTAAATATCTGCTTCTTGAAAAGGTATAGTGGTTAGAAATGGGGGAAGGTTGGGAGGAAAGCAAAATCTGAGATGGTAATAAAACAAATTTTGCCTATTTCCCATTGTTGTTTATACTATTTGTAACAAAAACAGTTTACTGACAGAAGGAAAAAGATTTATTTCAAAAATACAATTAAACAAAAAATTTGATGTAATTCATATGAAGAAAGTAACATTCACAATATATTTTTACATATGAAAAGTGTAATAACGGCAAATTGGACATAGCGCGTTTGTATGAATTTTATCCACATGAGGTGTGTACTCGTATTGAGAGGACAAAATTATCCAGAAGAAAAAATTTTTAGAATTTAGCAGCATTCGCTCTCAAGGAGACAAGATATCAGTGTTGCCAACTTTTGATTTTCAAAAAGCACCAAAAACTTGGAATAAAAGCGTTTTACCACACTAAAAGCACCAAATGGTTTTGAATCAACGGATGCTTTTTTCATAACAGTTGGTATGTATTTAACAAAAACAAAAAATTAACAATATTTACAAGAATGCATACATAAATCATTACACAAAACTTTTTTGCTCATAACGATTGAAAGGCCACATGCGATTATGACTCATGCTTACGACGTAATACCGAAGTACTGCACATTAAAACTGATATATCTCAAGAAAGAAAAATCGAATCCCAACAAACGAAAATCATGCCCTAAGTAGAAATGAGCAAAAAAAAATTATGTTTTCACTATATAACCTCAAATATCGCCAAAAAACCGTGATTTTGGCACTTTGAGGTTAGGATATCTCACAATTCTAGTGGAAATTATCTCTAAAATCCGTTATGACACTTTTATTCCGAAGAGGCACCATTTCATATATATCCATACCAGTTCTAGTACTCTACCGCAAATACTTCCAGAGGTATGCAGTATGAAAAATTCCGTTTGTATAGGAGGTGCCACACCCCATTGTTTAATCAAAATACCTATCTTTTAAGTTGGGCTAAATGAGACCAGCAGACGAAATTCCATTAAGATCGGTTGAGTATTTAAAGCATGAAAGCATAACAAACAAACCATTCGCATTTATATCAGTAAGGATTATACAGTGCTGACCACTAAAATAATTTTTAGAGGTGAGCATTTTTTACACAATAATACATATACAAACGTTTTTGCTTAAAGTTCACACTATATATTAATTTTTAGTAATTTGGCTGCAGTAAGTAGTTACTTAAATATCGCAGTTTAAATTTTTGCCAAAAATACCGTGATATGGAAGGCAAGCGGAGTTTAGATCCGATTCTACCCATTTTCAATACCAACCTAGCCTAGGCAGAGAGTAACAAGTATACCAAATTTTATTGCGAAATGTCATTTAGTTTCCCAGAAAACGAGTTGGGGGGTGGTCTAGGACACTGTATATTTTAAATAGCAGGCACCTTGTTGTTGTTGCGGCTACTAAACCCCGCTCGGGTCGGTTCATTTATTAACGTTGTAGTCTGTTTCAAGGGGAGGCCCAGGAAGTGCGCAACTTCAACAAGATATGTCCATAGGGACAGAGGCGCTTTCGGTTTAGGCCACGAGTTATCTGGGTATTTATGGTGTTAAGTGCTGTGCACTTTACGGAACCCATGCTGATGCTTCGCTGGGGTCAGGTGGTTTGTAAAATACGGAAGTAGCAAGGTCTCGGACGATAAGACTCTCCTTTGTTGGCTGGTTTCCCCGGTTTAAGCAGTGGGACCACTCTCCCCATCCTCCAGATATCTGGAATGACGAGAGTGGCCATTGACAAATAGAGGACCTCCGTTAGGTACGCTACTCCAGTAGGTCCCAAATTTTTCAACATCAGGATGCATATTCCGTCGGGACCCATGGCTTTGGAGTCTTTCGCCTTCCCGATGGCCTCCTGAACTTCACCGCTAGTGATAGCAAGGGGGCACAAGTTGTTAGCATTTTGCGCAGCCTTCTGGGCACTCGTCGCTTGGCTTTGTCAGCCGGAAGATGCAGTATGAACTTCCGGCTAAAATAGCTCGCGCATCACTCCGGATCTGACGAAGCATGGTCGCCGAAAGAAATTTCGACCCTGTCGTCGTGCCTTGTTGGATTGGACGGTGATCTCACGGTTGACCAAAGCTTAATCACACCAGAGGCGAAGTTGCAAGTCTTCAGATGCTCTTCCCACCTTTTCCGCTTATGTACGTTCACAAGCTGCCGAATCTCCGCGTTGAGATCCCTAATACGGGGATTTCCGGGATCGGCCTGACGGAGGTTGTAACGCTCATTGGCTAGGACAGTCGCTTCAGCAGGACGAGGGTCCGTGATACATCCTGCCGGTATGAAGCGAGCTGCAGCCGCAGTGACAACCCTGCGGAACTTACGTTCACCAAGGTGGCCGTCGGTTGGTGTGGGGAGCGCAGCGAAGGTGCTCTCAGTAAATTCCGGGAAACCTTTCCGATTAGCTTTAGAAAAGTTGATATAGGTCCGGTGTTCCGCGGAAGCAAAGTCGGTTGGTTTATCGATCGAGATGACTGTGGGCAGATGGTCTGATGTCAAAGTCAGCATAGGTGGCGAGCTGCAGCAGCTGCCCATAATCCTGGTGGGTGCGTCGTCGTTCATTGTGCGGAATGTCGAATTGTCTATCTGCTCCCCTACGATCGTTTGACCGGCTTGCGTGTCAAAGGTCGTGGTGCGCATTAAAGTCTCCTACTACCATACGGTTTTCACCTCTGAGGAGCGCACCTATATCAGGGTGATATACTGCCGGGCAGCAGGTGGCAGGGAGCTCAACATCGCTTGACCGGATAGCAATGCCCTGACATTCTAGAGTGGTATCCCTGCGGTCGATGTCTGCTTCAATGAGACGATACTGCACGGTGCGGTGCGTGATGAACGCTAAGCCACCACCATTATCTCGTTCGCGATCTCGATGGTGCACGTTGTATACGGCACAATTCAACAACGTTGAATTGCTTTACAACTTCGTCTCTGGGTCCAATGGCCATTTTGGCCTTCCCAGCAATAAAGTAGCTGATCAGAGAGCAAAACTCGCCATTAACGAGCCAATATTTACTTGCCAGTCTGTACTAAATAGTGACGTACTCCTACTAATAAAAGGCAAATAACAAAGACTAAAGCGCAAGATTGGAGTTTAGATATCGCCATGCAAATTACAACCTGGAAGGCAAGGAACCAAATTCTCCACGAAGTTTTATTGTAAAAGCATTATGTTACGTTAAGTTTCGGCTGTTCAGTTATAAGCAACATCCATTTAAGAGAATGTTTAAGTGAGAGCCGGTAAGTTACGTTAAGTTGCCATAATCAGACCATAAGTCAGTGATTGTCACTTTCTAGATAATGATGATAATAATAAATAAATACATACATATATATTCCTTCCTAATTCGATTCAGGTGGTTATACCTTATGACCACAGCTGTGAGGCTAATAGGAGTCTTATAAGAACTTAAAAAAGCTACGAAATGGGTCACAATGAGGAGATAAAAGTCTAAAAAAAAAGAGTCCGAATATGAGCGAAATAAGGGTCAAGTATGACTAATATTCAGGGCTATCACTGAACCCATCGTAGGTTCGATTTTCATGAAATCTACTAAATTTCTATCACTGGCTCTCAAGTGGCACTCGGCCATTGCGACTGTTGCGACAGCGCGAGCAAAATGACATGTGGGCATTTCCCAAAAAACGTAAATTTAAATATCATATTCAGATGGCGAAAAGGTTTTCAAAACACAAAACGGGGGAGAGAACTGAAAAAATTAAATTTAGTATGTGTTACTAGTAAATATATAGTATGGGGGAAAAATCTGTCACGTCTGATATGTCACGTCCGTTACCAGATTTTAATTCAAAATTGCTTCTCATTAAAAATGAATTGGTTGTAACGGTCCATAATTTGACTTTATTTAAAGAATGTTTAATAGAGGAAAACCTTACAGTACCAGCTGAGTTTTGCTTATTTTTGCATGTACTCTGAAATCACTTGTTTTTGACGCGTCCGTTATGCTCTCTCTTTTCATCGATTTTCTCCACGTCAGTGTTCCCAGCGCACCTCATTTTTTTGTAATCTCACGGACGGAATAAAAGCTACACAAAAGCAATTTTTTTTTACAAGTGACTTCAGTTTTCGTATTTATTTAACTCTGAAGTCGTTAGAATGTCGCGTCCCCCTTTCCTTCGCGGCAGCTGATTTCGAATCATCAAAGTGCGGCATTCGAACCTGCCAACGATATTTTCGAGTTAACTTGGATTCACTGATATCAGATTTTTCGTATTCGTAGCAGGCAATCGGATTCGTAGACTTTCTACGATAGATTTATTATTGATGGTCGTTTGAGGTATGAATTTCAGCTAATATAAGTCGACCTTCGCCAGAAGGGAAAGGCTCCGAATGTTTGCTGGGTAAATATGCATACAAATACAAATAATAAAGTCCACGGGAAATCCTTAGCTATTTGTACAACGATTTAGGGGTGGGGGCGGAGGGGGAGGGGCGTGGCTCCCAAACCCCCCTAAACGAAAGAGGATGAACGCCGCTTTCTGAAAAGTCACCGCTCACCCCCTCCCCCCCTTGGGAGCTGTTTGAAATTTGGATTTTTTCCAAAACGATTATAACCCTCACAACTTCTTTCTCTGTTGCCCAAGAGGGGCTGAACACCTCTTGCAGAGAGCACCTTTCTGGGTAGGCGGCCTTCGGCCGCACTTAGGGATTATAACCCTCTCTAAGTAGAATTCTCCTTTCTGTGTTGCCGAAGAAAAGGGGGTGAACCATTTTTGCAGAAAACTTTCTGCGTAGGAGGCCCTCGGCCGCGCTTAGCGATTATAATCCTCACTAAGTAGAATTCTCCTTTCTGTTTTGCTAAAGAAGAGGGGCTGAACACCTTTTGCAGAGCTATTTCGTGGATATTTTTTTTTTTTTATAGCTCAGCTCGGAAACTTGCAAAAAATACCATATTTCCAACCGACATTATTAATAAATTAGTGCACAGATATAGTAAATTTTATTTTTGTAATAAAGCGTGAGCTGTTGCCTACAAGTGTGTGTAAAAGGTTTTTGATTTGATTCACGCGTTTGGGCACAGCAACCCAAAATCGTTGTACAAATTCATAAAGAGTACCCAAGTCCACCTCTTGTATAAAAACAAAACTATGAATTATTTTATTCTAATTTTTGTATTACTTACTTTGTATGAACCATTTAATGCCCTGTTGCATTTCCTCAATTATCTCCTTGGAAGTGTACATAACTTCATTTTGTACGGCCTGATTAAAGTTTGCTGCATCGAAAACGGCTGAATAAAGGGAATTTCGGTCGTGATTAAGCGCACGTTGCGGAAATTTCGCCAGTGTCTGTGCCAACTCTACGGATTTAATTAATGACTGACCGGGCGGCACGACACGGTTCACAACACCCATCGAGAGTGCTTCATCGGCGCATACCTGTCGTCCCGTCAATATCAAATCTAATGCCCGTGAAAATCCAATTATTGCAGGTAGCCGAGCTGTACCACCATCAATAACAGGCACTCCAAAACGTCGATTGAAGAATCCCAGTACTGCCGTTTCTTCCATTACGCGTAAATCACACATTAGTGCCAGTTCTAAGCCATTTGCGATACAATAACCACTAATTCCGCAAACTACCGGCTTTTGTATATGTCGCCGAGTCGGTCCGACCGACCCTTCATGGGCCATTAGGATGTCGATGCTAACCTGTTCTCCGCCATCTTTTCCAAGCTCTAGGATATCATAGCCAGCACAAAAGGATCCACCAATGCCGTACAAAACTGCTACAGGTGATGTTTCATCAGCCTCAAATGCAGTGAATGCTTCACAAAGTTGGCTTGCAGTAGCTGCATTAATTGCATTTCGAACTTGTGGCCGATTTATACCAATTAAAGTGACATTTTTGTCTTTGTCGACAATAATATTCTTCGGACTTTGCAGATCTAAAACACAAATAATAGCGTAAAAACTATGTAATCTTATGTCATTCGCAAATATAGGTGGCATACCTTTTTCACTTTTTCGCAGACAAGCTGTCGTACAAATATTTCTTGCGCCAACATTTTGAGCGTCAGATGAAATAGCCACAAATATGCTCCTTTTGTTTATGTGCTGTATTAGCTTTCGTAGCATAACTCCAATTATTTAAATAAAAACTATGAAATGAGCACAATATCCAACTTGCCGTGTGTAAAATAATGGATTACTAGTGCCGATTAATATTGGCAAACTATCGATGGCACTGTCAGTACTATCGATGGTTTTGACTTATTTTTCACAATGGATAGTTTTTCAAAACTATCGAGTATTTTCACTATCGAAAATTTTCCAAACTTAATGGGGCTTTCGCCCATTGGGCCTTGTCTCACGGTCAGTAATTATCACGATATTTGGATCGCGATCCAAATTGATGGATCGCGCACGAATGCTACATTCTCAATATTTATCGCGTCAGTATATTTTTTGTGCTGAACGCTTATTATGATGCAAGAAAATATTTTTATTTTGTATGAATAATTTGGGGATAATGTATTCCACCATTATTTTAAAATTTTCCATGTTAATTAAAATTTTTTCAATTTGTTTTGAAAGGTTTTAAGCAACGAGAACGAAAGCATAGCGAATACGTTTTCGATGTTCGCATTATGAGAGTACAAGATGTACTGACGAAATGTATGGATCGCGTTTTGAAAGTGCTACACGCTCAATATTTATTAACAATATCGCGATCCGCGATCCAGATTTCAAAATTATTAGAAATTTTGAAATGTGGATCACGATCCATCAATACTGCATGCTACACCGTCAATAAATATCGCGATACCTGCATCACGTCAATAAATACTGACCGTGTGACAGTGCCCATTAAACAATAAACAAAAGCAAAGAACAAGAAACAGAGATGCAAAGTATATCAAGAACGTGGCGTGTAAACAGGTTATTGCGCCGTTTGTAATTGAGAGAGTGATCACGTGATTCGGTTGGCATGGAAACGCCGATTTATATTTTTTATATATGGCGACTATCGATAGTTTAAGAAAAATATCGCCCACTATCGATAATTTCCCACCACTAGGGCTTATTGGTATCGACTTTGTTGTACTTTTTTTCGAATCAGCTGTTTGCAAAATAATAGCATAATGGCCGCGTCAGAATGGGTAGTTTACGCACGTTCCGCTCATAGGGCTTTCGCAAGAGGCGATTTTTCAGGCAACTTTTACGTTCAGCTAACGCAGGGTTGCACGAAAAAAATTGATTGGCTAAAAATATCAAAATATTCGCCATTAAAGGCGTTTGCATTGTTTAACTTTGCATTCTACTTTTGGTTGAACGGCCTTTCAACTAATCGCTTCAACAAAGTTGGTCGCCAGCCAACATTTAGCCATTCAACTTTTTTTTCGCGCAACCCTACGTGAGTTGTAAGCAAAAGATGAACGCAAAATCGCCTCGTGCGAACACCTTTTCAAGGATGAAACTGACAGTTGAGTAGACTGAGCGAACTGTCACTTAATTATCTATTGTATGGGCAATGAATTTAAACGATTATAATGCACTTGAACGCAATGTAAACCGGAAGCATCTAAAATAAATATAAAGATTTGAGCCTTATCGGATTTTCGATGCTTTTATTGCACTTAGCAAATTTTCCTCGCAATGAATATAAACGGGAATGAATAAAACAAGTACATACCTTTCGAAACAATGCATTTTAAATTTCTCTAGCCTACCCTACGTAGACTTAGCAACTTTTCACTCTAAGCTAGCGATATGTAAATACATACTTATTTTTAAACCAAATAATACAATATTGCTGTTGCTATCTTAAAGCATAACCAGACGGCAGCGTTGATCCGGATCAACTCGGGAATTAACTGCAGTTGATCCGGACCAAGTCCGAGTTAATCCCGATCAACGCTGCCGTCTGTTTAAGCTTTTACACTTGTTTACATTTAATCAACAATTACACTTAGTTGTACCTCGCTGCTCATTAAGTATTTCTTCTTTTTCCCATTCTGGTACCATTTTCGGTTTCACTTGCCATAAATCTGTTTTCAATCCTTTGATTTGAGCTGTAAGAAATATGGACTAATATATACCTATCTCAAATATCGGTATCATATTGGTGAATTTACTTATGCCGATTTTGTTTCTACCGAAAAATGTAACCTGCTCTTTGCCTCTACGCACAAACACTAAGAGGGGAATGAGAACATTTTTTGTAGAAACGAAATCGCTATTAAAAGAAACTATAAGCAATGACCTTAAATTTAGCTAAGTTATAAGCATGTACGGTTAAACACGTTGAAAGAGTAAATATGTACGCACATAAGTATAAGGATGCATAGTAATATACAATTATTACCAAATTAACTGCTTCCTGTAAAATCAATAATGCTTCTAAATACAAATTACTTACCGTTTTTGAATCTTTCCACACCTTCCTCAAATTCAAGCAAATTAATGGAATTTAATGATGCAGTCTCGTGTTCAATCGCTGTGGACAAGCCTTTACGTCTTTCGTAGTAGTTTGAAAACATATTGGAACGGTCTCGGTTAACTGCTTCCATAGGAAACTTTGCAATAGAGAAAGCCAAATTCACCGCCTGCCCCAATGCTGTACCTGTAGCTACTAAACGATTAACTAACCCTATATTTAGAGCCTCTTGACCATCAACTCGCCTACCCGTTAGAATTAAATCTAACGCACGCGAGTATCCTATTAAAGCAGGCAGCCTACCTATACCCCCACATTCAATATTGAGCCCTATAGATCGACCGAAAAATCCCAAAACTGCTGTATCTTCCATAACACGAAGATCACAAAACATCGCCAATTCCAACCCATCAGCTATGCAATAGCCATTAATGCCACAAATAATTGGCTTTTTTGAATGCCTGCGTAAAAAATTATGATAAAGGCAGAACTCCTTATACTTCTGGTTGACTGCGTTAATTTTGCATCGCTTTTCTAACTCAGTCAGATCTTGGCCTGCGCAAAACGAACCACCTATTCCATAAATTACTGCAACCGGCGAAGTTTTATCGTTTTCAAATGTAGCAATTGCGCCACTTAAGCAGCCTGCGGTCTCTTCATCAATAGAATTGCGATTACGTGACCGATTTAAACCAATCAAGGTAATACGATCATCCTTATCAATTAAGACCGGAGGCCCGGTACAATTGCTCCCGTTTCCAGATGCCGCAGTTGAAATGCTTTGCTTTTTCCGTACAGACACTTTCGACGTTAGCTTTAATATAGTACATTTTATTTATATTGGATTCAGACAAAAATGTAAAAGTTTTTTAAACTTACACGCAGTATCCCGTCCAAATAACCACTCCTACATGGATTTAGAACATTCGCCATTATTCCATTCAAGAGAAATTGTTTGTAAACAACGTCAATTTAAATTCAGTACAGATGAGACGAAACGAGTAAATACAAGTATATACTCGATACTTTTGTGCGTTAGTAATATTGGTATCGATACTTTTCAACCAAGTACTGAGTAGGCCCTGATCCAACTACACAAGATCTGACAAGATGAAGCAAAAGAAAAAAGTAATTTTCTGGTTGACGTTTGTAATTTCGGCACCATGTTATTTTCTTTGAAAAATAAACAAAGAATATGAAGACGAAGCATAAAGAAAAACATGCAAGCAATTTTGGTGCACATGTTTGTGCTAACCAATTTATTATTTTTGTACATGTTTTTGCAACCAATCACCGCGCACTTCGTTTTAATTACTTTTGCACAAAAAATTTATTGAAAATCGCTTAAAAATCACTGAAATAAATCACCGACAAAATACACATAAAGAAAGAAGCAAAACAGAAATAGCAAACTTCAAAATTTCGAACGTCACACACTTTTCACAATACCTATTAATTAAAGATGATAAAATATGACTTCCACTTCGATAAATAATCGAAAAAAACTAGTGCACACACCGATTGGAATGAGTGGAACGTGAGTTTTCAAGTGGTTTTCAGCGAAAACTTGTTTTCGTTTGACAGATTTTACATTGACGAAAACACAAGTTTTAGGTCGAAAACCAGTTTTAGCAACGAAAACATGTTTTCGATGTCGGTCAGAACGTGGTATAATAGAGAGCGAATACGTTCCACTTTTGGATCGTAAATGTCTTTTTCTTTGTGCACGAAACAGACCGGACTTTTTTTCCGGGCACAAACGTGCAAAAGGGCAATTTGAAATAACTGCTGCTGTTGTTTAAATCCGAAAGCAAATTTTATAAAAACAAAAGGTTTTCCACAGAATTTTCAGAAAATGTAGGTATTTAGTAATTTTATTACCCATATAATATAAATACACGTAACATCATTGTTTAGAGCTGATATGCGGATTCCGGGCACGAAATGTGGTTTTTTGCGTTCCTCACGCTCTGGGCACTTTTGTGCAAAAAAAGTGTCACAGCAAAAAAAAACGAGTATTCAAGTCATTCAAATCGTTTATACCATGTATGTAAATACATTCATTATTTTACCTTTCGAAACTTATTAGAGAAAATCGACTCTACCATTAGTATTAGCTTTTTTTAACGGAAAATCTGCAAAAAAACTGCTTAGAGTAGCTTTATTTCTTCTATGACTATGGGGTATAATAAATTGTTAATGGAGATCAACATTTTCTATCAAACATAGTTTTTCTCTTAAAATAATAACATATTGATGAAGGATATATTAAAAAGCCGCAATGTGCATATTTTGCATTTAGTTTGAAAAAAATTTGCAGTTAAAAAAGTGATAAGTAATCATTAAATTAATAATAAATTTAACACAAATAAATTGGGGGAAATGCTAAGCTCCAAAAGCGGTGCATTAATTCATGCTACTTCTGGACATTTATTCGGAAAATGTTTGACATAATAAAAGAGTTGAAATCAGTCAAAATCTGGCCAGAGGTGTAATTTTTAAGTTCCTTTGAAAAGTAAATACTAAAAGCACTTTTAAACACGTAAGAAAAATGTAATTTATGAAGGAATTGTCAAAATGTGTATATAGAATTTAAATCAAAGAAAAGGGGCAAAAGTCGCATGATTTTTTGGAAAAGTTTCAAAATAAGCCTATTTTTAAAAAGCCGTTGTCAGGGGCATCGATCTCCAAAAAGTGTCAATTTGACACTTTAGTAGCACAACGGTAACACTGGCTGGCACATTTTTGACACTTGTGAGAGAGTAACTTATTTTTACTCTCTAATTACCGGAGCAGCCCGGAAAGTGTGGGGAACGAAGCTAATAAAAACTAAAACCCGAGTCAAGGGAATACTAAAATAGAATTCGCAAAAGTCAGGTCAGAAAAATAACTGTGTGTAAACTGTTGACATCGGTAGTGATGTGATGTTAAATGTTTCAATTGGGCTATCTTCTCCAATATTTAAAGTATTCGGTATCGACCCTTTTATAATCAGTTTTGACAATCCACACGAATTTCCATTCATATGCGGAGCAACTCTGTGTTCAAGTGAAAAGTGTGGAATAGCTCGTATAGAAGTTGTAAAGTTGGTATTGGCGGGTGAAAACTGCAAACTGCATTGAATTTCTGGTCAATTTGCCAGAAATAAATTGTAAAATAATCAAATAAAAGAAGTATTGCCGCGTTATTGTGTTTATTTGTGCCAGCAGTAGTGGAAAAGTGCCGGAGATAAGCAGATTATTGCTTTGAAAATTTGCGTTATATATGAAGTGCTGGTAAATTTTTGTCAGAAGCGCCGACACCGTCGCCATACCACTGACGCAGCGAATAGAAAATAAGCGGGTGTGCATCTTTATATATTTCAGTGAAGTTAATTTGGACTATTTTCTAAAATGCCCATCTGCAAACGCGATGGCTTTGATAATATGCCATCTCGTAGCCGAGACGAGACTTTTCATGACAACGACGAGGTGTTCTTTTGTGAAGTTACAAAGGAAATCTTTCGCGACTATGAGTAAGTAACTTGGAACTATTTTTATTTTGCTTATTAAGGTAAGGCAAGGAATTAACACATTTTCTTCATGTACATATCACAAATTTTTTTTTTTTTGCAAAGCAATTTATCATGGGCTTTTCATAAAACTATGCTTTAAGAAAGAAGGAATTAAAAGGTTGAGAATAAAAGTAGTGCAAAGCGTAAACTGAAAATGTAATCAAAAAGTCTAGCCAGCTGCTTCGGAAAGCGGTTGGCGGGAACATATTGGTGAACAACGCACTCCTGTAGAGTTGCCATATATAAGCATAAATGATCAATTATGGGCGTTTTTATTAATTCATTCCGGATCTAGAACATGGTACTAATCCACGGTGCAGCGAACAAAGGTGGCGCCGTCAGTGGTACCGCTACTTTGGTTTTGCCGATTTTGACAGTTGTGGTAACTTGTAAATAAACCTTTGTTTACAAATCAGCGAAAGAGAAATATGAATTATAAGTGAAAAATCAGTTTAAATTGTGTTAATTTGCAATTTGTGAGTGATTTTTGAGTTGAAGACTGCGTAAAAACTAATACAATGAAGTGATGTGTGTTAAATTGCGACAGCCGTCAAGATGCAAGTGTAGCGCTGGGACGAATCGCTGCATTTTGTGTACATAGGGCACGGCAAAGCCGTTCCCGAAATATTTCTCTATTATTATATTAACAGCAATTCCTCACAATGATTTTGTTTCTGCTCCACGCAGCCTCCATTAGCAAGTTAACTAATCAATCCCGCAGAGATGCTGCTGCAGTTTTCTGCAGCAGCCTTAATTGCAAAGCAATGGAGTGTACTAAAACGTTTGCTGAAGCAGCCTCAATTGCAGAGCAATGGAGTGCACTAAAATGTTCACTGTTCTCTAATAGATTAGGTGAAAAATGCAATATTTTCGCATTTAGCAAAATTAAAACACGTTTTTCGCTGTAAAGTGAACTGCTTTGGCAGTTTCAACTCGTTCTTCTTTTCGCTCTATTCGTTGTTTACTTGTGGTACACAAATGTCAACGCCCAGGACGGCGCAATCTTGTATTCTATCATTCTTGGTACTAATCATGAACCAAAAATACAAGATCACGCCTTCTTAGTATCCCCTTTATAATCGCATTTAGGAAAAAAGTTGGGCGACTTTGACATTAGCCGTTTATTTACATTTGTTCGTTGTTTACAATTTGGTGGGGGCTTTTTAGTGCAATTTTCTTAATTTTCGCTTGTGACAACGTGTGCACACATAAGGTAAAGAATAATTTAACACATGGACATGATTTATAGAAGAATTTGCATAATAAAAATGATTATTCATGCGTTCAACAATTACGCGTTTTTTTGTTCTCTTCGTTGTTCACTTCTTGCAACAAAGATGGCGTCGAGATTTCAACAGTTAGAAAACAATAGGTGCAATCCCGTATTCCTCGGACTCGGACTAGTAAAACTGTCAAAAAATAAAAATTCGCTCAGAGCGAGAGAGTAACATTGAAAAGTACGGGATCGCTTTCTAGTAAAAAATGGTAACTTCTATCAACTTCAACATAACCTCCAAATTTTGGTTGTCAATTTTTGCTTATTTTGTATGTAAACACTCAGCTCACACATGTAAATAACCAAAAATACTTTCAAATTCATTAGAATCCACTTAAACCAGTAATTAAATACTTTTCAACATGAATTAGCAGACTGCACTTTTCTTTTGTTCACAATTTGGTTGCCAAACACACTACAGCTGATCGTTTGACACATTTACCAGAATTTACCAGCAAAAAATTCTCGGACTAAAACTGGTAACTTCTGACAGAGAGAGAACCGTAGTTACTCTCTTTTTTTGTCCTCTCAATAGTCTGAGAACCGAGTACGGGATCGATTTCCAGTAAAATCTGACTGATTCTGACTAGTCCGGACTCGTACGGGATCGCAACTAATTATTTTCTTTCTTTCCTTAAGGCGTGATCTTGTGTCTCTCGTTCATGGTACTAATTACAGGTATTGTCTTCCCAGAGAGTTTTGGTTCACATCCATGGTACAATAATCACAGGTATTGTCTTCCCAGAGAGCGCATATTCCGATCTGCCTTATCTGAAAAACATCATTGTTGCCCACACTAAAAGGTTTACTGCTAGGGAAAAGGGATATTTTCATACCCCATATACCACATCGTCGCCTGGGTAAAAGTTTGTCGTAAACGCCATTTTGACGTGTTTTAGTTCTAGATGCTGTTATATACTTTGAAATAAGTTCTTTCGATTGGTGTTATCAGTTTTTAGATATCGCCTTTAGTTTCCGAGATATTGACTACAATTTTTTCGATAATTTAGTAAAAATTTGGTTAGTGATACAGTCATATTAAACTAATCAATATCGGTGTTCTCCATTTTTGTATATCTCCTTTAGTTTCCGAGATATTCAGTAGAAGGTGTCGTTAATTTAGTAGAAATTTTGATCATATTTTGTCGTATTTCATACAAAGTGGCTGCCAAATTGTGTACAAATGGCGCATACGACAAAATATTACTAAATAAAATCCTTCATAAACTCAAAACTAATTAACAATAAACATTAAAAACTAAATAATTTAAGAGTTTTGTGAACTAGTAACATTTTCAGGGACTTTGGGGCAATCTTTCTTCGCGTTCATTGTATTCCAAATTTCTATCGCGATTTCCAACAACCAAACGAAATTAACATACGACAAATTTTACCCAGGCTACAAAATGGAATTCTTTGCCTTTGCGAACATACACGCTCGCGCTTGCATTGAACTGTGTAGCAAGCTTAAGGCAGATCGGAATATGCGCTCTCTGGGAAGACAATAGTTGTGTTTGTTTACAAATTATCCATTAACTTGCCAGCAATTCTCCAGTAACTTTGTTTCTAAGACTTCGCTCTCATAGAAAAAATTTGCAAAAAAATACGCGAACGCTTATCCAGTAATAATTTGCAAGTTTCATGAGCAGCTGATAAATTGGTTCTTTATTCGCAGCAAATTCCTAATAAAAGAATATATTTTATATTTAAATAGGTTTAGTTTGTGAAATTCAACTATAAAAACTCACAAACAGTTTCCTTATTAGTTTAAATTTCATCCAGCAACATGCGATCAGCTGTTTTAAAGTCATAAAACTGTAAAATATAAATAAAATAGGCTTGGGTTTTAAACTGCATACCTACTTTATTTAACCCTTTATTTAACTGTCGGAACTGTGCCATACGTAATTATAATGTTGTGCTTGGGTTCGCGCAGCTCCAACGATATTAGTTGAGGGTTAACTTATCGCTGTAAAATTGCCTATTGCTGACGAATATTTTCTTAACATTTTTTCAGGGACTATTTCCGTCATGTAATGGTGATAAATTCTACTGTTTGGCAGTGCGAAGCAACTGGCCGCGACAATCTCACCTACGCAGAGGCATTACGAAGTGAACGACGCGCGCGTAAGAAAATGGAACTTTTTAAATATTGTCTTCGAGCACCTGTATTGTTAGTAATTGAAAACTCTAAGCAATCCTCATTGAACACTCTGTGTGTGATCTTATGCAAGTTTTTGCGCAAACGCTTTTTTATTAATGAAGAAGTAATGGCCTGTCACAAGTCGTCTACTTATAATCCCTACACTGTTATAGGCATTATTCCATATACTAAAGCGCCTCCAGCCAACGGCGTATACGAGGAAACTGAGAAACTTCAATACAAATTGCGCCGAAAAGGAAGCAATGAAGCAGAAGTAATTGTTCCTTTTGAAAAAATACGACGTCAGCGGCAGGACTTTACTACAGAAAACTTACAGATGTTCGTGAAAGATAATGTAACACGTATAGATGGTATATTACGCCCAAAACCAGAGTCTTATAAAAAATATGTGACAGGTGATAAGATTCATTTCGAAAATATTTTCATAGGAAAAATGCCTCATTTCACACCCGCAAAAATTAAACGTCCACCGCAAGACTCTGGTAATAAGAAACAATCGACACTGAATAAATACTTTACCAAAGATGGAGAATCGGAAAGCAGTGGTAAATCGAGTGAACAAGAGGCAGCTAGACAAGAGAAAAAACGTGCTGATGAGGAAGCCAGAATGCTTGAGAAACTCAAGCGTATTGCTGAACAGGAACGGCAAAAAGTTGAGAAACGCGCCAAGTTAATTGAGCGCGTGGAAGCAGAATGCACTGCACTGCTTACAAAGACTGATGACTTGGAGCGCACAGACCAGCGTTTACTGCCCATATATAAAGCCGTCAAAACATATATACCAACCAAGCTCGTTGGAGATGCCTTCATGATTCGAGAATTCATGCATTGCTTCCCAACCATATTGTCAGGCATCGAAGTTTTTCGCGGCAATTTAAGTTTTTATGATATGTGCCGCGCTTTTAGTTTACGTGAAGTGGCTGGACCACTATCCGACATCATTTTAATATTTCTGGGTACAGTTTTTGATTTGCAGAAGGAAGAAGAGGAAGATTGTAGCGTTGAGTATGTGCTTTTGCGGCCAGAGATGCGAAAACGTGAACCTTTGATAACTATGTCCGAGGCTGCTCGTGCCCATTCCTACGCAAAACGACATTTCTCTTTTAAAATAAATGAGTTGCCGATCGATTCTTTGACGCTGGGCGAAGTTTTGCGTTTACATCTGCTATCGTCTGGATCTTTGGTGAAAGAACGAGCTGAGAAATGGAGAATTAAATATAGAAATGGTTATTCATCGTCGGAGGATCCGGGACTTGCGCTGCGCATGAGGCACCCGCACATTTTGCGTGCACTAAAGATGTACACTCTCTACCAGTTACCATTTATTGACATTATGCGTATTGTACGTTGCTTGATGGCTCAAATACTGACTTACTCAAGCCCAATAAACCTTATTGAAGAACGTATGGAGCAGGTGTCGATAAGTCGGACAGAGTTGCGAGTACTAAGCACCATGGAGAATATGCGTTTGGCGAATGTTCAAACGCAAAAGCGAACTCTAACTAATGAGTTCAACCAACAATGCATGACAGATGAGGTAAAGAGTAACGAAGAGAAAAAAAAACAACTAGAGGATAAATTAAATAAAAAAGTTGCAGAATTACTGGCACAATCAGAACGGGAGCGTAGAAAGTTCGAACAGCAATTACAAGGTTTTAATTCATCAATATTCAATTTCCTGGTTTACCTTGGCATGGATCGTGCCTACCGTAAATATTACGTTTTAGAATCAATGCCAGGCGTTTTTGTTGAGCATACTCCAGATAACCTTGACACTTGTTTAAGTGAACCTCCCCAAAACGCTTTGGTGGAAAATGCCTTACTCTCAAATATTGAAAACTTGCCAAGAACCCGAAAAGACTTACGTGCGTATTTATTAAAAATGTATACTAATGAAGACAAGCAGGCAGCAAAGGCCGCAAAGGCAAAAAGGGCATCGAAAAGTACAGGGCCTATTGCCGAGACACAAGAACAAAAGGAAGATAAAGAAAACCATCTAGTAAATGGTATCGCAAATGGTAAAGATGTCATCGAAGAAGGAGAGCAAGCGTCTAAGAGTGAATCCGATTCAAAAGAACCTCTTTCACAATATCAGTTATTTATGTGTACTGGGGATCCGCGAAACTGTATTGTTCACGATGAACGAAATGCCGACAGGCAGAGGTGGTCTTATATTTACGAAAAGGAAGACATTGATGCATTGATATCAGCACTTAATCCATTGGGCGATCGAGAGTCTCGTCTAAAGGAGCAGTTAACCACTCTGCGCCAACTTATTATTAATCATTGCAAAAAATGCCCCGAAGAATTGCTAACATTAGATGAAAAGCAATTGTCTAAATTCAAGGCGGCAATGATGACCGAAACTTATCGAAAGTATAACAAAGCCAACTTTGGTTTTGAGGAAGATGCTGATCTGAACGAGGTAATGCATGCTGCTCTCGTCGATCGTATAATTCAGTTTGAAAGCGACATCTATACAGGTGATCTGGGCCGATTAAAGGTGAAAGATATGGTAAAATGGCGGACGGATCTCCAATCTAATAAATATGATTCACAAGTGAAATTACAATGGGGACCAAATCATCCCCAGAAAGCCAATGCCAACGGTGGAGAAGACGATGAGTTTGCCGAAGAAGATGTAGAAGAAGATATCGAGACAGATGCAAAAGAATTTGGACAATACGGAAACAAACCTTTCAGAGATCCCGGTGATGCGTTGGGTGACACAATTGAAATCGACTCAGAGGATAGTGCTGATGATCTAATATCATTACATGATTCAAACACAATCAGAACTAATGTACGAAATAGTGCATCTGCTCTGTTGCAAGTAGAGCAGGCAATCGAACGTCGCTTTATAAAGGAACCCTTTGGTGCACCAATAAAAGATATAAAGGACAAAGATTTACTTGAAAGAAAGTTGAAATGGGGGGCCGCACGTCTAAAACAATGGGAGCTGTCACTAATGCAGAGCACAAGTTTTTCGCAGGTGAGTTCAGTAGAAATAGTATTTTCAAATTGACACCACTTAAGTAGTCAAATAAACTAACAGCTGTTTGATAAGGCATTTTTCAAACAAACTCTAAATTCGGTTATCATAAAACTAAGTTTTTTAACAGATTCAGCTTATTATATGAACTATTTAATAGAAATTAGTAAAAATTATACTAATTTATAGGAAAAAGCGGGTAGAACCTTGTTTAGGATAAGGTATTTAAATCTCAAATAAATAAAGAAATAGATATTTGGTGCTAACACTTTTGCTAAAGGCCTGTGCCAATTGGATAGTAAATTTTTGGAAACTATGAGGTAAAAAAATACCATACTAAGACGTTGTGTTTGATTTGTTTTAAATTATTAGGGTTGATGCATAAACTTAAATAATAACTAAATATGAAATTGGAGCTTGATTAATACATTTATAAAAACTTTACATCACAAAAACAAAAACATCGATTTAATAGTTTTCACACATACACATATCAAAATTCTCTATGAAAAGAAATATAAAAAAAAAATCATGAAAAATTTTTCGCGTATATATTTTTTGATACAAAAAATTAGTTTTTGAAAATATGCCATTTCAAAAAAGATTAAAGAAAATCACAATGATAGCTCTAAGTATTGCGCAATATTTAAGTATACAATAATTAAAAAGTCTACAATAATTTGAGTTATGAATTTCGAATTTGAGTAAAGTGAGTACATTACAAATTTACAAATTTTTAAAAAATTTTGAGAATTTTTTTTAGTATACATTTTTGTAGCCCATTAAATTATAGTATGACAAAGTGCGATTGCAAAACTGGCGTTATTTTTTTTGCAAAAAGCCGTCAGCATAAAAAATATTAAAAATCAAGGCAATTTTGCAGTAGCTTAAAACTTGCACTTTATCATACTAAAATGTAATGGGCTACAAGAATGCAAACTCAAAAAAAAAAAAAATGTAATGTACTCATTTTACTCAACATATCGATGGTCCTATGCAACAAAATTCAAAAAATAAAAACTGTTACTACTGTTAAGTGGCTCATGCCTCTAATCCTTGTCGAATCCATGTCTATCCTTTTGTATTTACATTTGCATTCCTTACTGCTTACCTTAGTAAGAGATGTAAATGGATTAGACAATGATTAGAGACAAGAGCCACTTAACAGTAGTAACAGTTTTTGTTTTTTGAATTTTAAATTGCGTCGTTATTGCACAGGACCATCGATATGTAGATGTTAAAAAAATTCATAACTCAAATTATTGTAGGGAGCACCCCATAATACTATACTTAAATATTGCGCAATACTCAGAGCTACCATTGTGATTTTTTTCAATTTTTTTTTAGATGGAATATTTTCAAAACAATTTTTTTTATCAAAAAATTTGTATGTGAAAAATTTTTCAAGAAAATAAAATTTTATATATCTCTTTTCATAGAGAATTTTGACGTGTGTATGTGAGATTTTATCAATTTTCATCCTCGCCCCGTTGCCGGGATATATGGAAAACTATTAAATCGATTTGTTTTTGTTTTTGTGCTGTAAAGTTTTTAAAAATGTATTAATCAAGCTCAAATTTCATATTTATTTATTATTTATGTTTATGCATCAACCCCAAAAATTTAAAACCAATCAAACACATGAAGTGTGAACCCCGTCCGTTTTGGTAAACAAAATAAAAATTAAACCAGCTGATAGTCAACGCGCACAAAAAATTTTGAACATATGTATGTATTTTCACTTCGCGCTGCAGATAAACGATCTATGTGGCATGCTTCGTGCATGTTCATACATTTCATCCTATATGTCAAAGCGAACCTATCATGCAAAGCGAAGCAAGCGTTTTATTGGCAAGGCCTTAAGTGTTTGGTTGACCTTTTTCTCCAAATTGTAGTGTGCTGTAATAACTAGGGGTCGGAACCTCAAGCACTTAAAATTCAATAAAATGCGCCGCAAACAAATAAAATATGCAATTAAAAATATTTTCCTAATGTTTGATTGCCAGTACAAAAATTAATAACACATGTATTTTAACAAGAAAATAACGAAAACAATTCACTTCAAAATACAATACATATTTATGTATCAAATTAGTTTATAAATAAGCGGTCAGATACAATCCTGTGTTGATCAGAGATATAGGCCAGCTCTCTCCTACAGTCTTTCACTAGTTGAGATCTAATAGAGGTAGAAGAGAGTATCTCAATGGCCGCTTGGCTATCCGATAAAATATTCAGATAAATATTTTTGAAGAAATTATTGGGATTGTTTTTGCAAGAGATTTCGTACTAAATTTAAATGGTTGTAAATCAAAAAAAGCAAAAGTATGCAAAAACCATATGCATTTATTGGAAACTTCGTGATTCGGGAAGATAATTTAACCATTTCGATTTGAACATGCCCAATAAAAACATGCATTTGCATGAGATTCCGAGCCCTAGTAATAACCTACACAAACCACGTGATCAAAATCTCCCATACTTGAGTTATAGTGGCCTCGTTCGGGGTGGATCACTGCTTTCAAGTTTCTAAAAGTGCTTCACTTTTTTATTCCACTCTCCTGGCGTCCTTTGCACAATTTTCCTCTATACTTTGCTTACGTTTTATTTTTGGCCGCTCAATTTTAGATCTGTTCGTTTAAAAACAGGTTTTCGAACATGTTAAATGGTTCAACGGGTTTAATTCTATTACGGACAGTTTGTGATTTAAACATATTTAAAATTTAGTAATCTCAATTTAATTATAACGCAGGTGTTTCTTCATTTAAATGTTCTGCACGATTGCATTCTGTGGGCTCGTTCAACTAACAAATCTCTCTGTCAAGTATGCCGTCGGGGCAGTGATCCAGACAAAATGTTGCTATGCGATGAATGTAATGGTGGCACTCACATGTTCTGCATGAAACCCAAAATGAAGACCGTGCCCGAGGGTAATTGGTACTGCGCTCGGTGTGTCAAACGTTTGGGCTTACGTAATGAAAATGAGGAAAAAAATAGTAAAAATTCATCGCAAAAACGAAAACGTACATTCAATATTGACGATAATATAGATGATGGTATGGTGAATGGCTCTAAAGATGGTGAGCGTGCACGTAGTACCGGACGCCGTAGTAATAAGCGCTTGCAATCAAATGAAATCGAAGAGACACTGGATAATTACAACGACGAGGCTACGCACGACAGTGATGAAGAAGCAAATGGTGAATATGAAGATGCAAATAATGACAGCGGTAACTCGGGCGACGATGGTGAAGTAGGTAGTGATAAAGACGAAGATGCTGAAGATGAGGCTGAGGTTGATGCAAGGAAAAAGTCTGAGGATGGATCAGAGCAAGAGGAGTAAGTGCTTATTTACTATAACTTTATTTCGAAAATATTTAGGTAATTTTTTTTCTATGGAACATTTTTAGGTTAAAAAAGGTGTTCTAGTAAAAAAATTGTATGGGAGAAAAATATGTCACGTCCGTTATCAGATTCGATACTACCGATGCGGTACAATAATTTACGATATGTCATACATTAGGGTGCCCATCGAAAATGCTTTCTTTGGAAATATTAAGACCCTACCTCCTAATTTTATTAATTTTTATGAGAAATATTATTGCCTATTTTTATAGATTTTTTAAAGGTCATTTAGAGGTCGATTTAGGTCAGAAAATAGGATTTAAAATGGTATATAATAATCTATTGTCGGACTAGGCTTGTTGGGATTTTTTAACGGGTAAATTAAAAAAAATACCCTTATATACATATGTATGTATATTAATTTTTTAAATTTTACCATCGATAATTTCATAATTTCAAAATATGGAGATCTATCTAAAATTATATTTATTTTCAAATAAAGCCGAATTTAGGCGACTTTTCTTAAATACGGCCTTGAATTTATACCGGAATTTCAGATTTTTTGAGCAGTGTGGCTAAATAGTTCATCAATATTTATTCTTAATTGATGTATACAGGCGCTCTTCAGAAAAAAAGTGGTTTTTCTAGAATTTTAGGAAAATGTGGGTGGCACCGCCCACTTATATGATAGTATCTCCAAAACTACTTGACCGATCTCGACCAAATTTAATATACACATGGTGCTTAGCCTCCTTAAGTACCGTCTTGAATATTTTTGAAATCGGACAAAACCTAGTCTCCCTAAAATATAGCTAGCTTAGAGTTTTTTGAAATTACCATTACGCTAGTGGAGCTCGTGGTTTATGTCCGATTTCAAAAATTTTCAATGACGCTTAAGAGTCCTAAAAAAATAAGGTTTTCGGAATCAGCGAGCAATTCTACATAGGAATTGGATATGGGCATCCGGTGAACAAAAAAAAAACAATAGTGTTCCAGTGTTATCTGACATAACAAGTAATCTTAATCTTTCGTTGAATCCCAAGCGTCACATATTTTTGGAACGATTTTTTAATTGACTACCGCCACTATGGAAGCTACATTTAAAAAAACTTGGGAGTCCGTTTGCAATTTAAGATTTTATTAATTTCTTTTCTGATTTAAACTTTTTTCTTTCAAATAGAGATGATAATGTTTGTGTTGTCTGCTCATATGATGGAAGCGATTTGATGTGTATACGCTGCAAAGAAACTTTCCATTTAGAGTGCATTAACATGAAGCGAGCCCCTCGTTATAATTTTATATGTTCAAAATGTAAATCGACAAACGGGAATGATAAAAGGTCTCCAAAAAGCGCACGAAGTAATGGCAAACACATATTGGATTCTTCAAACGATGACGATGACGAGGATTCTGAACCATTGGTGAAACGCAAGCGACCGTCACGGTCATCTTTACGCCATTCTGGTTATCAGCAGCAGCCACAGCAACAGAATGGCCTCGACAGCAGTCCACGGGAAGCGGCTAAATCGGCATCACAACGGCGGTCAATTCGTCGAACCGGTGACCATTTACCATTGAACAGTGCCGCATTGTATGAACTTCTCGATGATGTTATGAAACACCAAGATGCTTGGCCGTTCACACGTCCCGTTTCGCAGGCTGAAGTACCGGACTATCACAAGATTATAAAAACGCCTATGGACTTAGCAAAGGTGAAGTCAAAGTTAAATATGGGCGCATATCAACTGAATGAGGAAGTAATGAAGGACATACAATTAATCTTTCGAAATTGCGATGAATACAATGTAAAAGGAAACGAAATTTACACGTGAGTAAAGTAAAGTAATTAGCTCGAACTAAAAATGTTAACATTGTCATTTCAGTGCTGGTTGTACGTTGGAAAACTATGTTATAGAGCAATGCAAACGCTTAAATCTACCATTTAAACCCAGCGACATGAATTCTTCGTAATAACTATAAAAAATATTTCATAAAATTACAATTACAAGAGTTGTAACCTCATGAGCTAAATGGGAGTGACTTCAACTGTTTCTTAGTACCGCATAGAAAAACTATTTTGAAAACCAATAACAATCATCGTTACAGTTTTAAATTTGTTGTAAACGGATATTTTGGAAGTTTTTTTTTTTTAAATACCGTCTGATTATAGTCCACGCACGCACCTATCTATTACTGCTGCACAATTAGGGAATTCGCCAGGTGTTATAAAATTACGTACTTTTTATAGCGGCTAAAAATATATTTTGGTGTACCATGACAACATCAACACCGTTGTGACACCTTGTGAATCATCTTATGGTTAAACATTACATTAAATATGTACTTAATGTAACTTAACGTTAAAAAAAACAGTTATACATTTTCCTATATAACAGGTTGGCTTTAAGTTACGTTACGTTAAGTCTACATCTAGGCAGTGTTTTGATGCTAAAATTTTATTTTAATTATGACAAGAAGTTTGAAGTAAACATTTAGCTCCTAAATTCCAAATATACAGCGCTCTGATTAAGCCGATTTATGGCCCAATTACTCAATGTTAACACTAACTGCAGATTAAACATCGTTATCGACGTGGTGCACTCCATAACATATGTATAACAGGGTGTCAACAATGTCGATGGCGATGTTTAACATGTAGTAGTAGACATTAAGAAACCGGCGCCAAGAATATAGCTCCGCAACAAGGTTTTCAGGCATTGATTTTCGGCGCTGATGCCATAATTACAACTTGCAGCTGAATAGAGCGCTGAAAGCATAAAAAGCGCATTATGCCTGAAAAGCTTGTTGTGGGGTTGTGCTCTAAAAGCATTTAGAAAATTTTAAGAAACACATAATGCTTATTTAATGCAGAAATAGCTATTAACTTTGTAAGTTCATGAAAAATCGTATGTTTAAGTCTAGATTAAGTAAAATTTCAAATTAAGAACAAAAAAATAAAATAAACGAAATTGATCACATTATCACAAGCAAGAATATAATAATTATTACTATTACAAATTTGTGTTGTCTGAATTGGAAATTGGGGTTTAAAACAGCGATTCAAGCAAAAATGAACTCTGTGAAGGGAAAATATTGTGTTTGAAAATACCCCTATCCATACGGTGACCAGATTTCTGTGGCCAAAAATCGTGACATTTCTACAGCATCGAATCCGAATATACAATTTTGATTTTGGAACAAAGAGGCTTAATACAGTCTTATTTAAAACAAAAAAAGAGAGAAAAAAAAAATTAAAAATGCATATTATTTTTTTATGAAAATATAACTTACTAGGGCGTATCCTTGTTTTCGTACGAATCGAAAATCATGAAATTTTCCTATCATTTTCTATACAAAAATTTCAAATAATACTATCTAAAAAAACATGTAAATAAAAATTTCAAAATTTGTAGAACATTTATAACAATTCGAAGAATTTGAATAAATGTTCATCACAATTTGAAACATTTTAATCAGATTTTCTAGAATGCTTTTGAGTATGCGATGTTTTGAAGCCCATTATATTTTAGTATAATAAGGTGCCAGTTGGAAGAAGCTTAGACTTACCGATGATTTTTGGAATTTTTTTTTCGCGTTTTTTTTACATATACAGTACAATTTTTTTTGTATGAAGAAAATGAACAACAGCTTCCACAAATATAATTAAATATTAACGGTAAGTCCTAGCTACTTAAAATTTCCCCTTTGAATCGAATAGGTTGCAAAACTGCTTACTTAGAATGTTTCTAAGAACGCTAATGAACCTTTGTCGAATTTTGCTAATTTTTGTACAAAGTTTCAAATTATGACTTCATGGTCTTTGTTAGATAACGAGCCACACTTTCATAAAAAGGAATAAACATTAAATAATCGAAAGGGGAATAGCCAAAGGGCGCTAAAATGTCTCTTCCCTATTTATATTTGCGCCACTCTATCTAACGTACACTACACCGACTCGTCGGTTATGCTTGATGAAAATCAAAAAATTTTGATATTTGAATTTGACGACTTTATTTGACCGTCTCGCGTTATGCTTGACAAAAAACAAGCTCACTTGCCTTCTGGTCGTCGTGGTGATCAAATGCGCGGACAAGAAAAAGAAATTGTTTTACGTTTGATTGAACATTACCAATGCTTACTAGCTTTATGAAAAGCTGTTTGCCTGTTACGTTTTCAACTTTGCGCCGCCTAAATACTTAAGTTCTGAACACATTGAAAACGACGAGCTACGGGCTACAGCTTCCAATTTGTCATCTTTATTATCTAAACGATTTGTCGATGGCTACATGAATTTTATGAACGCGCCAGCGACATCATGAATTTGTATGAGTTTGACATAAAAGAAGAGGAAGAACCTTATCTGTCGCTGGAAAAATAGAAATAGATCTAAGCTGGCCACAACCACAGTCGTCGCGTAGCTCGGTCGTCGCCAAAATAATTATCTACATAAGAATACGTGTTAAAATAATTTGACAGCTGTGGTCCGTAGCTCGTCGTTTTCATTGTGTTCGGGCTATTATTTGAGATCAATGGGTTAGCTTCTCAATATTCATCGCAATCTGGATGTTAATGTTGACTCAGTATTAAACAGATTTTTATCTGTAAGTTGGCGAATTGCATTATTGAAGCCAGAATAGGAATGATATCCTTTGTTGACTGTACATAAAACCCCCTCCAAAAAGAGATCCTGCGGCTGGCCTTGCTTGCCACCATTCTTTTCGGACTAACGGCAACTTGAAAAACTTCACTCCGGATCGTTTACACGCATGTAATAATTTTCCACAAGACGCCTCTTTTTTCATTTTGTCTTTGAAAACTTGATAAAAAGTTATTGAAAATATTCGGGGCTGTCACAGAAACTATCGGGGTCCGATTTTTCGTGAAATCTATGAAAATGCTATCAATGAATTCGAATAGTTACGAATGTACACAACATACATATACATACATACATACATATGTACACATATGTTTAATACATATGTACACATATGTTTAATACATATGTATAGAAAGGCCTTATCTCAAAAGGCCTTATGCAAAAAAGCCGTAACTAACTTAACATTTTTATTGTATAAAACGATGTGGGGCTCTATAATTTGATGAAATGCATGTTAATCAATCAAAAAGGGGAATTTGGATTTTTAGTTACGACATTTTGTATTTCAGCGACGATGTGAAATATGGCCTTTCTATTAAATTCCCGCTCAGAGTCAGTTAATGACTCGTTAACGGCATTTAATGAACATTAAAGTTAAGTGAAGAAAAACCATTACATAACTTTTTAACGAATGATTTTGCCCAATTTTTTGTTTGTTTCCAATAAATTTAAATTAATTGACCCATTAAAGAAAGTGTTTCTTTTTCAACTGTAATCAATTATTTAAATGTTGTGGAATATTTAGGTGAAGGTATTTATTATTTATTTGGTACTTTCCTATTTTCTTACCAAAAAATTGACTTTTAAATGTAGATGCTAAGGATTATTAGTAAAAAAAAAGTGTAAGTACAGGTCCGTCAGATCCTGAAATTAGACGAATATTTTAGAGAATTTTATGTAGTTTTCGAATATATAATTTGATCTTCGCGAAAAGAATTTTTCGAACAATGAAAAAATCTCACCAAACATTGGGGAAAAACGAGTATTTACACCTAAGTCATTTTATAGTATAACCTTTGTGTTCTGAGAGTGGAAAACAGGAAACAAAAATTAACCAAAATTCCATCACATTTAATGACTGGGCCCACATTTTTTGTGAGTTTTGAATGTTATAGTGATCCAATCTTCCCCAATATTTTATATTTAGACTTTTATAATTAAATAAGGACTACAAACTAAATTTCATCGAAATGGGATGAAATTTAATGCTTCCGCTCACAAGAGTACAGGGCGTGGCAATAATTCCATCTTTACAAAATTTCATAATTCTCTATTTCTAAGTAAAACTAGAGCACATGTGAAGTTTTAGTGAAATCGGTGCAGGTGTACTCTTATTTTCACCTGCCTCCATTTAGTCGAAACACTGTGCGGCGTTGTTATTATTGCACTTAAAAGGTTTTCGTAAGAGCAGCAAAGCATTCAAAGCAAAATATCTAAATTTTCCTTAAAACTCTGTTTCATTTACATTAGCGAGGCTATGGGTAAACTCGTTTAAATCTTCAAATAAGGCTCAGACTGCAATTTTTGTCAGAAAATCCGAAAAACTATTTCTTAGCACATGATAGTCATATGGGCAAGGGCGACTTTACCTTAGGTTTTTTTGTAACAAATTATAACAAGACTTTGTCCATTTTTTGCTGAAAGGTAAATAAAAGCTCTGCGTACATTTTTAGCGCATAATCCCAAAAATTGCAAATTTTGAGTTGACTCTTTGGAGACGGTGTGCGATATGTATACTGTGGTTTTTCTTTACTTAACATTAATGGTTAACGAATCATTAACTGACCCTGAGAGGGAAATTTTTAAAATCGTTACTGAGAAACACCTAAAGTAATCATTAAATGACTCTGAGTGCGGCTGTATGAGACTTAAAAAAAAAATTATTTACAAAGGAAATGTGAGCTTTATAGAATAGGAAAACATCCGAACGTCCGAAAAAAACATGCTCCACGTAGCAGCGCAATGAGACCGTAACAAGAATCATAAATTGCTTGATCTCTCTGCAAAATCTCAGCGTATAATGACAATAAAGTACAAAGCAAAAAAATATTAGAGACTATGTAAGAGCCAGGGATATAGTGAAATATGTACAAACCACTTTACCCACGATTTTTAAACATTGAAAAGGAAAGCTAAAAGCGACCAAAAAAAGCCCTCCGCAATATGCCTGAAAACTTAAACAGGTCAATCGTAAGCAGGGAACGGATTTTATGGAAATTGCCGTTTTTCTACTAAAGGGATAGAGTATATTCGCTTTCCCCGATTCCATATATATACATTTGATATTGTCTTTTTTAAGATATTTGCCTTTTCTACCTTTAAAAAAGTGATTATAGCATTTAAATTTATTATTTAATATTGGCAGCATTTTTTGGAATAAACTTTTTTGTTTACTTATTCCACCATGTCTCCACCGTAGCTTAACCACGTGGTTATGGCTGTTGAGTTGGTTATCCCGATATCCCACTTGATTTAGCGTAGTTTCGCCATATAAAAATGACAGCACTTAACCATTTCACTGAGATGGTTAAAAGCTAACCAACTCGAAACCACGTTGAAAGTCTGATACAACCCTGTGTTTTCCCGCCATCTGTGGGTCATCAGCGTTAAAATTGAAAAAAATCGTTCCCTACCAGTGTTTCACTACAATTAGATAAGATTTACTCCGGTTTTAGAAAAAATTTGAAATCTAGTCCTCTACTCCGCTTGACTTCAAAGCTGTTCCGTTTCTTCACTCATGTTCTGTTCCTCTTAGGCCCATTTTTTGAGTGTTCACCCCCGGTTTCAATAAAAAATTGAAAGTTAAGCAAAGTATCATTGATAAAAAGTAACTCGTTCATAAAAATGAGTTAATACATTTTTTTACGTTATTTTTTGATATATGGACGTAGAGATTGGCGGATGCAGAACTTTACCTAAGTTGTTGAAAAATATATGTAGAACGAAATTTATATAAAGTAGAAAAGGGAGTATTCGAGAGAAAGATTTTGCGGAAGATTCACGGACCTTTACGCGTTGGCCATGACGAGTTCCGCTGACGATGGAACAATGAGCTGTATGAGCTTTACAGCGATATAGACATAGTGCAGCGAATTAAAATACAGCGACTCTGCTGGCCTGGCTATGTCGTCCGAATGGGCTCCGCGCTCCCAGAACGCTGAATTCCAGAACCTGCCCGATTATCTACAAATTGCCTCGCGTACTTATTTTTGCATGAATGGATAATATTTAAGTCATACAATTAATGTCAAAAGCGAAAATAAAAAATGCAAATCTGGTGCGGAAAATTTGTTTTTGCTCCGATTTTTGAAGCGATTTAGTCCTGAATCAAGTTTTAATAATCCGTTCTGTTTTCTAC